TCAAGGAAGCAGTGAATGGATGCTGGATCTGCTGCCCCCAACCACCCCGAAGGCTCCCCTCCCTGTTTGAGGATCACACAGGCGTTCTCGCCACCTTGTCCTGGGCTTGCCTTGATGTTTATTCTTGGGATGGGGTCACACGAACATCCTTGAACACTGCCAAACTCCAGTTACTTAATCCCACTCTTCCTGTTTGTTGGATTTCCAAGATGTAATTTGCATATAATTCAGGAACAGTGAGTTGTAAGAACCCCCTTCACTTGCCAAATGTCCTGTTTTTAGGAATTGGGATTGCTCTTGGAACATTTGGAGGTTTACACTGGACAGGCTCCAGCTGTGTGTGAGCCTGTGTGTGGACCTGTGCCACACATCACAGAAAGGGCAGAGAGCGAGAGGAAGACACCCTCCCCCAAACCTTTCCTCTTCTCTTCCAAGGCTGATGTCCCTAACTGAAAATGCTTTCAGTGTCAAATGTGTCCCAACAGATAACCTGGGTCACCAGGAGGGTTCAACACGCCTCCTACCCTGTCCGTGGACTCCAGCAGAGTCTGGTGAGCCAGACTGAATGCCAGTCCGGACTCAGGCTCAAAGGCTGCCTGCCTGGAGGAAGGAAGGGGCTGCTCTTTCTAATTTGCCCAAAAGGGGCCCTTTGTTGCCAAACTTGTGCTAGTAGGATTCCTCCCCCCCCATTGAACGCAGGGCCTCACACATGATAGGCAACTGTTAAGTGCTCAGGCACACCTGCAGTAGGGTGTGGTGGTCCCTTGCTGTTATCTTAGAGGTCTGGAAGCTTGCCACAAGCTACTGCATTGTTTTTTTGGTTTTGGATTTTTGAGACACAGTCTCTCACAGCCCAGGCTGGCCTCAAAACTCACTGTGTAACTGAGGTTGGCCTTGAACCCACCATCCTCCTGCCTCCATCTCTCAAGTGCAGGAATTACAAAACTAAGCAGGTCTACAGAGCAAGTTCTAGGCCAACCAGGGCTACACAGAGAGATGGTCTTAGAAAACCAAACCAAGCCACCAGTAGCACCATCCCACCGCTCTCATCCCACCCCAGTAGGTGGGCTCCACATGTCCTGAAAGCCACTGCCTTGCAAGGCATCACCCAACCCTTTTCTTTTGCTTTCCTCCAATCTCCGGCATTTGACCCAACGAGAGTAAGCTGAAGATGTACTGCGTCCCATCTACCCTTGAGACCACGCTGCTCTGTTGAGGAGCCGACTCTCCGGACATGCAGCTCTGAGTGAGTCAGCCAGCTCACCTGGGCACTGCCTGGACAACAGCGAGGGGCACTTAGCACAGTCCAGTCCAGCTCACAACTCATGCACACATTGCCTCTGCAGTGTCTTGTCTGTCCTCGGCCTGTCAGTGTCCGCCCCCAGTTTGCCCTCGTTTTAATTTCCCGTAGGAGGGACATCTGATGCTGTCACCAAATTAGGAAGAACTATCTGTGGGTCCCCGTGTGCCCAGATCACACCTGACAACTCGGAGGGCTTATGACAGTGTAAAATAAATCCTTCTTGCTGGGCGTGGTGTCTCATACCTTTAATCCTTGCACTCAGGAGGCAGAGGCAGGTGGATCTTTGTGAGTTCAAGGCCAGCCTGGCCTATATAGTGAGTTCCAGGACAGCTGGGGCTACAGGGAAACCAAATAGGGGGTGGGAGCAGAGGTTGGCGGTAGAGTGCCTGTCTAGGAAGCACAAGGCCCTAGGTTCAATCTCCAGTGCAGAAAAAGCAAAAACAAACCCTAGGGTGCGACATGGTGGCTCTGGTCTGGAATTTCAGCACTTGGGAGTGGAGGCAGGGGGATTAGAAGTCCAAGATCATCCTTGCTACATGGTACATTTGAGACCAGCCTGGGCTATATGAGAGCCTGTTTCCAAAAAAAAAAAAACAACAGCAACAACCAACCCCAAATAGGATGCAGCTCAGTTGGAGAGTGCTTGGCTAGTGAGCACAAAGACCTGGGTCAGTCCGCAGCTGGGTGGGACTGCACCCCTGTGACCCCAGTGCTGTGGAGGAGGAGGAAGAGGAGGAGGAGGAGGAGGAGGGAGGGGCCTGTGTTTAAGGTCAGCTTGAGCTACAGGAGACCCTGTCTGAAAAAAACAAAAACAAAAATCTTGGGGCTGGTGGATGACTCATTGGGTAAAGGTGGTTGCTACACAACCTGACCCTGAACCCTGACCCTGACCCTAACCCCAGAACCCACATAAAAGTGGAAGAAAAGCTGACGTGGTGGTGCACGCCTTTAATCCTAGCACTTGGGAGGCCCAGGCCTTTGGCTGTCTGTGAGTTCCAGGCCAGCTGAGGCTACAAATAAACTAAAACACAAGTCATTGGTTTTTGAATATGGATTTTTTAGTGTATAATTTTAGTGAATTTTTGTGCATTTCATATAAAACATCTTAATCACCATTATACCCCCCTCCCCCATCCGGACTAATCCTTTATGTTTGACACTTTCATACACGTACACAAGGCACGGTGATTGCAGTCACCTCTCATTACCTTCTCTTGGCCTCTCCCACTCCTGCTGACCCCCTTCTTCCCAAGCAGTTCCTTCCTCCTTTCCCATTGTGAGTGTGTGTATGTGATTGCATGACTGTGTATGTGTGCATGTGCAGGTGTTCGTGATTGCATGACCATGTCATGCCCAGAGCACAGCGCCTCATGTCCTCCTCCCCATCCTCTAGCCCTCACGGGCTTCCCATTCCCGCTTTCACAACATCCCACTCAGGGCCGAGCACTCAACAGTCATTATTCTCACACTTTGGTTAGGAGTCTCTGCGGTAACTTGTCCACTGCAAATAGAGGCTTCTCTGATCAAGGTTGAAAGCCGCACTAACTATCAGTGTAAACACAGACTTTGGAAGATGTTCAACGACGTGACCGGTTAGCAAGCATCAGCTGTAGATTGCCCCCTACAGCCTTGACCTACCCCAGGGTTTTGACAGGTTTACAGTACTGGCCCTTCATTCCTGTGGAGCAGGCCTCAAATCCAAGAAAAAGTGATTGGTTATCCCCCAAACAGCACATTACTATTGCTCCAGTGACACCTTGCCCAGTAGGTTGGATTTTTTAAATTAATTAATTAATTAATTAATTATTTTATTGGTCTTTTTCAGATAGGGTCTCCCTGTAGCCCCAGCTGGCCTGGAACTCACTATATAAACCAGGCTGGCCTCGAACTCACAGAGAGCCACCTGCCTCTGCCTCCCAGTGCTGGGACTACAGGTGTGCGCCACCGTACTGGGCTGTAGGTCCTCTTTGAGGCATGCCACATTCACAGTTGTATAAGACCACTGGTGACTTTTCTTCCTCAACAGCCTACACGGCACCTTCCGGCTATGAGCACTCAACAGGAGGGAGGAAGCTTGCTGCTCTGTTCCACCTTGATTTCTCGGTGTCTTGAGTGTGAGTGTCTTCAGCAATAGAGTCAGACTTACTGTCTGGTTCTGGTGGGCGACCAAGGGCAGTGACCGCAGGCTGGGTTGTTTGGGGGGGGGCCTGGCCAACAACTTCTTGTTGAGGGAAGTATCTCACATCAGTATTGCCATTTTAATTTTATAACCCGTGGCTCTGGGAGCAGCGTGCACCCATGTGGGCACCTCTGTTCAAGCTCCTTTCTTTTGTAAAAAAAGATTAATTTTTTTATTTATATGTACGTTGTATCTGTATATGCTGTGTGTGTGGGGGTCTCTCTGGTGTCCTAAGAGACCAGAAGAGGGTGTTGCATGCCCCGGAGCTAGAGTTAAATTTTTTTTGAGCAACCTGATGTGCTGCTGGGAACCAAACTCATCCTCTGAAAGAGCAGCAAGTGTTTTTAACTGCTGAGCCATCTCTCCAGTCCTTTCTTTTTTAAAATTATTATTTTTTAGTTAGCTATAAAGTAGTAGATTTCTATATGATCCTTGTCCTAGCTTGTTTCTCCATTGCTGTGGCAAAATACTCTGATAACTACCAACTCGGGGAGGAAAGGGTTTATTTGTCTTAGGTCTCCCGGGTCACAGTTCAACAGGGAGCCCAAGGTAGGAACTCAGGGCAGGAACCTAGAGGCAGGAGCTGGAACACAGGCCATGGAGAAACGCTGCTTACTGGCTTACTCCTCTGGCCCCTGCTCAGCCTGCTTTCTTATACAACATAGGCCCACCTGCCCAGGGGTGGCACCACCCACAGTGGGCTGGGCCCTCCCACATAACTCAACAATCAAGAGGATCCCCCACAGACATGGCCACAGGTAGGTCCTATGGAGGAAATTCCCCAATTGAGGCTCCCCCAACCCAGGTGTGTCAAGGTGACACCAAAGCTATCCAGCACAATTCTCCCCTACAACCTCCATCTTTCCTCCAACCCAGTTAATTTTTATTTATTTTTATTTTATGCCTATGAGTGTATTGCCTGGGTGTATGTAAATACACTTGTGTTGTGTGATGCCTGTGGCAGTCAGAGGAGGGCGTCAGATCCCCTAGAACCAGAGGTATGGATGGTGGTTAGTCACCATGTGGGTGCTAGGAATCAAACCCAGGTCCTCTGGTTAAGGGCAGCCAGTGCTCTTAACCACTGCGCCATCTCTCCAGCCCAATAATAATAATTTTAAAAAGCAATGACTGACAAATATGTATATTGACTTTTCTCACGTTCAAGACTAGGTGGGCTGGGCCCGGTGCAGCTGCTAAGAGTCACCACAGGTCTGGTCCTTGTTTCTTGTCTCTCTGTAATCAGAAAAGCAGTTGTCTCTAAAAACCTTACCAACTGGCTTCTACCAGTACTTGTTAACCAAACGGTCACGTGGTGCCAGAGGCCTGAAGAAGTGTTTCCACATAGACGGGTTGACGCCATTGCCCTGGAGAGGACGGTGGCATGAGAGGTGGCAATCAGCCACTCTGCCAGGTTCATAAGGATGCACTGTCCAGACAGGACCAGGACGGAGGAGGCTGCTGAGAAAACACACTGGGGGGGGGGGGGGGGGGAACCCGGGGGGGGGGGGGGGAGGCGAAACCAGCAAGCCTGCCTGGGAAGGGCGGCGGCTTGTTACATTCCTGTAGGTGTCAGTTGGTGGATGATGTGAAGGCTGTGTTGTTTCTTCACCTCTGGTCAGGAGGAGCAGGGACTAACATCCCCAACACGGAGCCCGACTTGTTTCCATTCCGCCACCTACACATTTGCCAACTGATAGAATGTGGGAAGAGCCTTGAGCCTAGTTAGGAAAGCAATATAACCATAAATCCCTTAAAGTGGTCAACTGGCCCTAAATTGGCTGCCTGGCCTTGCTCAAGCCTTATCAACTGGTCACTCCCAGAATGAAGGAGACTGTTTATGGAGCCCACCTGTCTTCTCTGGCACCCTAAGATGCTCGCCTGCCTGAGAAAATAATCCTGGGAGGAAGACCCTCAATCAAGGACACCAGACCCCAGCATCCGGTAAACTCCAGCAGCAGAATTCCTATGAAGTGGAAACTGCCCCTCCCTTTGATGCAGACGCCTTCTTCATGAGGGAAGCCTTCTGTGCTCCGTTGTGTCCTCTTTTTTCCTTTTTTTTTGGTCTTTTTGAGACAGGGTCTCCCTCTAGCCCCAGCTGTCCTGGAACTCACTATGTAGACCACGCTGGCCTTGAACTCACAGAGATCTGCCTGCCTCTGCCTCCCGAGTGCTGGGATTAAAGGTGTGCACCACCACGCCCAGCTCTGTTGTGTCCTCTTAATAAAGGACACACCCTTGCCTGTCGCAGGTCTGGCCCTGGTTCTTATTTCTTAACTGTAAACTCCTTTTCTGTTCCCCTAAATCTAACACCAACCATGTTTGATATATGGACCCTTGAGTGGGCACCAGGGCTCTGATGAGCAACAACTGTCCATAACTCCAGTTCCAGGGGGTCCAGTGTCCTCTTCTGGCCTTCACAAGCATTGTACAACATGGGTACACTTACATGCATGCAGGCAATATGTTCAGACACATAAAAAATAAAAATAATAAATAAAATACTTTAAATGCATATCTATACACACCAGCCCCCCCCTCTCCCTCCCCCTCTCTCTCTCCCTCTCCCTCTCTATCTCTCTTAGGTATATAAATATATTGCTTGCATGTAAGGGCAAACCATGTTGTGTAATGTCTGAGGAAGGCAGAAGAGGGCATCCTCTCACCCCCCCCCACTATGTGGTCCTGGCTGATCTGGAACTCCAATGTAGACCAGGCTTTACCAGCTCCTCTTATTTCTAAGCTTCTTTTTCCTTTTAAGTTTTTTAGGATCTTTCCAAAGCAAATAGCAGCTCTGCCACCAAGCTTACCCTGGGAGGGAGGGTGTCAGGACAGAGACACTCCTGTCCCAGATCTTCATTTCCTTCATGCCCCACTATGTGGTCCTGGCTGATCTGGAACTCCAATGTAGACCAGGCTTTACCAGCTCCTCTTATTTCTAAGCTTCTTTTTCCTTTTAAGTTTTTTAGGATCTTTCCAAAGCAAATAGCAGCTCTGCCACCAAGCTTACCCTGGGAGGGAGGGTGTCAGGACAGAGACACTCCTGTCCCAGATCTTCATTTCCTTCATGTATACACAAAGGCCTGTGAGAGATGCCCTGTGGTTAAGGTGGCAGAGGAGGTCAGCCTGACCAGTGGTGATTTGATGTGCAAACTCCCCAGGGTCTCCACACCCTACTGGAAGGATGTTAACAAGGGGGACTGGAAGGCTGGCCCAGCGGTTAAGAGTACTTCCTGCACTTGGAGAGGACGAAGATTCAGTTCCCAGTACCACGTGGCAGCTCACCTCTGAGGGCACTGCAGGCGTGTGGTGCACATACACACACTCGGGCACACACATGTACACATCAAAATAATAATAATAAAAAAAAATTTAAATTTTTTGGGGGGTCTTTTTGAGACAGGGTCTCCCTGTAGCCCCAGCTGGTCTGGAACGCACTATGTAGACCAGGCTGGCCTCAATCTCAGAGAGCCTGCCTCAGCCTCCTGAGTGCTGGGATTAAAGGCCTGTGCCACCACACTTGGCTTATTATTTATGTCAGGGTCTCAGTAGCAGGGGCTGACCTCAGAATTAACAGGTAGTCCGTGATAACCTCGAACTTACCCTGCTGCCTCCAGACGTCAACTGCTGGGATCATAGGTGTGACTGTCATGCCTGGTTTTATCCAGTCCCGGGGATGGAACCCAGGGCGGCCTGTGTTCTAGGCAAGCATTCCAGCGGAGGCAGATCTCTGGCTCCTCCCTCCTGTCTGTTGACACATCAGAATCTGAAGCTATTTTTGTGGACTTAGTGCTGGAATTCTCGGAATGCTCCAAGCCATTTGCAGTGGTTCAGGGCCTGTCAGCATTTTTTCCCCAGCAGGTTTCAGTTGAGTATAAACAAAATCTTGGTTTCTTTAGCCTCTGGGGGTTCAGCTGAGCATGTCTCACATTTTCTGCCAGTGTCTGCACAGATATTATTTTCTGTGTGTGTCACGACTTGAAAATGTTGGGGAACTCTTCCTCACACTCATGATTATTTTTTAAATATTTTATTATTTTTATTTTCTGTGTATGAGTGTATTGCCTGCATGTATGTAAGTGCATCCATGTCATGTAGTGACCATGGAGGTGGGAAGAGAACATTGGATCCCCTGGGACTGGAGTTAGCCATCATGTGGGTGCTGGGAACTGAACCTGGGTCCTCTGCAAGAGCAGCCAGTGCTCTTAACCACTGAGCCATCTCCTCAGCCCCCACACTCATGATTATTGATTTCATATTCCTATTAGCTTTTTTGTTTTGTTTTTATTACATTTATTTATTTATTTATTTATTTATTTATTTATTTATTTAATGCATGACACCCAGTGTGGAAGCTTGGAACCCAATGTGTGGAGGAGTCAGTTCTCTCCCTCCACCATGTGGGTTCTAGGAATCTAATTCAGGTTGGCAGGCTTGGCAGCAAGTACCTCTACCATTTATTTTGTCGACACAAAAGTATAACTCTCACCTCAAAGGGGATAAGAGATAGTTTATTCTGGGGCCAAATACGAGTGACCATGGCCCGGGAACACAGATTCAGGTTACCCCCAAATTCTATGTTCCAGTGTGAAAGCAGTTTTACAGGGTTTTTATAGTAACAGAACAAAGAAAAGTCATAAATCAAGACACTTCAAATACATCGGTGGATACATTCAGTAGGTGGGTCACGGCAAAGCGGGAGGGTTCTTACTGTAAGTCTCAGATGTTATCTGATGACATTCTTAGCTTTTGGATTGGTGAGACCTGGTGGTCTGCTAAATTAATACATTCTAAAAGGGTTTTATCTGTTAGTCACAGGCTGTTAGATCGGAAACAGAGGTGGGTAAGGAGTGGCTGTTTAGGAGGTAAAGCTGGCCCGAGATAAAAGGTAATTAGACTCTGGACCTGCAACATTCCAAACTCTCCAGTCTCTGGAGTGCTAATTGGTTGGTGAGCCTTGCAGAAGTTCAGTCCAAGGTGCAGGAGTTCCTTTTGGGAACTTTCCTTTCACAGTTGATTTTGTACATGTGTGTACACATGTGCCATGACACACGTGGGGGTCAGAGGGCAACTTGCTGGAATCTGTTCTTACCAGGCTTGGTGGCAAGTGCCTGTCCCTGCTGAGCCATCTTACTGGCCCTGTTTAGTTTGGGGCTTTTTTTGAGACATGGACTAATGAAGTACAGGCTGGTCTTGAACTCACTATGTAGACCAGGCTGGCCTTGAATTTGTGATCCTCCTGCCTCCACTTCCAGAAAACTGGAGAAAACTGTAAACATAAGGTTTTGGTCAGATCCAGTGATTTGTTTTTTGAGACAGGGTCTCCCTGTAGCCCCAGCTGTCCTGGAGCTCACTATGTAGACCAGGCTGGCCTTGAACTCACAGAGATCCACCTGCCTCTGCCTCCCAAGTGCTGGGTTTAAAGAAAGCTGTGGGCCACTATACCTGACCATCCAGTGATTTCTGAGAAACAGTGTCTTAAGGAATACAGTCCTCATCTGCACTCTCCACTTCCGAATTTAAGATGGCTGTTATAATTGGTAGTATTTGTAGCTCTTAACGAGGGTTCACCAGTAGAGCTTCTGTGCTATTGGATGTGTCCATGATCTGCATCTAATAACTAGGAGTGACCTGGGCTGTCACTCTCTGAAAATGAGAATCACATCTCATCATTGATTTTAAGAGTGGCTGTTCTCACAGAGGACCTGAGTTCAGTTCCCAGCACCCACGTGGCAGCTAACAACCATCTGTAACTCCAGTTCCAGGGGTCTGATGCCCTTCTCTGGTCTCTGTGGGCACTGTACTCACTGGTGCACTTACATACATGCAGGAAAATACTCAAACATGTTTTTTTTTAAAAAAAAAAAAGACTGTAGGCCAGGCGTGGTGGTACATGCCTTTAATCCCAGCACTCAGAAAGCAGAGGCAGGCAGATCTCTGTGAGTTCAAGGCCAGCCTGGTCTACATAGTCAGTTTTAGGCCAGTTGGGGCTACAGGGAGACCCTGTGCCCAAAAAAACAAACAAAAAAAAGATTGTTGTTATTTTCGGCCAGGCATAGTGGTATACACCTTTAATCCCAGCACTCTGGAAGCAGAGACAGGAAGAGCAGGAATTCTAAACCAGCCTAAGGTACAGTGTAAGTACTAGGCCAGCCTGGGCTACATGAAACTATGTCAAGAAAAAAAAAAATACAGTCAGTAATTGGCTATTGTCATGGGGTTTGCGCACCAAGGTACCTACAGATTTGATGAACTGGTTATTTGATAAACCACCATTGTCTATTTTTTTTTCTTTTCTTTTTGAGACAAGGTCTCCTGCCAAGGATGACCTTAAACTTCTGATTGATCTTCCCACCTCTGCCTCCCAATTACAGGTGTGCCTGATGGTTTATGGAGCTAGGAATCAAGTCTAAGCACTCTACCAACTGAGATGCCTCCCCAACTCCTGTCCCCAATTCCTATTTATTTCCAGAGTTGGGTTTAGTGGCTGCTGAACCTTGCCACTAGTCGGCAGTGTCTGTATAGATGAGAAAAACTCACCACCATCACTAGAACAATCCAGAATAGCTGAGAGTAAAATAGGGCCAGTGACCTGGAATCCATAGTAGAATTTCTCTTAATTTATAAACCAAAAAGCTGGTGGAAAGCGTGTTTGCAAAATTTGTTTTCTATAGCTGTCCTTGTTTTTACCCTTTTATCTTTACTTTGTTATAGTGGCAGATAAACCTCTGAGCAGAAGACCAAACATTCACAACTCAACAGCTTCCAGTAAGGATTTAAAGTCGGAAAGACGGCTCAGTGGGTGAGAGGGAGTGCACCCATGTCAGGTGTCTCACAACTGCCTATAATTCCAGCCCCCGGGGACACTGCGCCTTCTTCTGGCCTCCAAGGTCATCTGCACTCATGTACCCCCCACCCCCGCCACAGGCACACACATAATAAAAATAAATCTTTTAAAAATATTTTATTTATTATTTTATGTGTTTGCATGTATTACCTCTGCATATAGGTAAGTGCACCCGTGTCGTGCAACGCCCAGAGAGGACAGAAGAAGCTGTCGGATCCCCTGGAACTGGAGTTAAGAGCAGTTGTTAGCTGCCATGTAGGTGCTGGGATTCAAACCCAAGTCTTCTGCAGGAACAGTCAGTGTTCTTAACCACTGAGCCATCTCTCCAGCCCTAAAAATAAATCTTTAAAAATTAAGAGAGCCAGTACGGTAGCACATGCCTTTAATCTCAGCATTTAGGAGGCAGAGGCAGGTGGATCTCTGTGAATTTGAGGCCAGCCTGGTCTACATAATTAAGATGTGCCAAATTAGACTTAGTAACTTTTGTTTTTGATCTTTTTGAGACAGGGTCTTCCTGTAGCCTCAGCTGGCCTGGAACTCACTATGTAGACCAGGCTGGCCTTGAACTCATAGAGATCTGCCTGCCTCTGCCTCCTGAGTGACAGGATTAAAGGCATGTGCCACCACGCCTGGCCTGTAACTTTTTAAAAAAAAATCCATACAGTGACGAGCATGACCTGTGACAGCGACATCTTCGCTCTACTTCCCCCAGTTTATCCATAAACCAACAAAATGTAGTAGGTATGCATTAGAGCTCTTCACAGACAAAACCAATAGGAGATAGATGGGCAGACACAAAATAGAGGAATGTAGTAGGTATGCAGCTCTTCACAGACAAAACCAATAGGAGATAGATGGGCAGACACAAAATAGAAAAATAGATGGATAGATAGGAAAGATGGATGGATGGATGGATGGATGGATGCATAGGTGATAGATAGCCAGGCATAGTGGTACATTTTTTTAGTCCTTAGCACTCAGGAGGCAGAGGCAGGCAGATCTCTGTGAGTTCAAGGCCAGCCTGGTCTACATGGCGAGTTCCAGGAGAGCTGGGGCTATGGGGAGATACTGTCAAAAAGAAAGAAAGAAGTTTGTTAGTGACACAGGGGAAAACTAGGGAGTCCTTGGGAGTGACAGACTTTCCTGCATCAGGTGAGCAATAACTTGGGGGGCTGAGGTCCCAGATAACCAATGGCCTCCAAAGCCACCCTGGCTATTGGATTCTGGGTCCTTTGTCTTGGGAACTCTAAGAATGAGTTTCATAAACAACAGGAGGGAGAGTTTTAGAGCTTAATTAGGGCTGGAGAGATGCTCAGTGGTTAAGAGCACTGGCTGCTCTTGAAGAGACCCAGGTTCAGTTCCCAGCACCCACATGGCAGCTAACAACTGTCCTAACTCCAGTTCCAAGGGATCTGATGTCCTCTTCTGACCTCCAAGGGCATTGCATGCCATGGTGTACCTATGCAGGCAATACACTCATACACATAAAAAGATATATATATATAAAGACCCCTCCTCCCAATTCTGGTAGGGGCTGGAGAGATGACTCAGTGGTTAAGAGTGCCTACTGCCCTTGCAGAGGACTTGAGTTCCATTCCCAGCACCTATCTTGGTGGTTCAATCATTCAACTCCAGCTCCAGGTGATTAGATGCCCTCTTCTGGTCTCTCTGGGCACTGCGCTCACGTGTGTGCACAAGCACATAGTCTTTTTTTTTTTTTGAGACAGGGTCTCACTCTGTAGCTCTGTGACCTGGAACTCACTACATAGACCAGGCTGACCTTAAAACTCACAAAGCTCCATCTGCCTCTTCTTCTGCCTCCCAAGTCTTGGGCCTAAAGGCATGTGCTGGCATGTCTAGTTACACATAATTTTTAAAAAATTTCT